AGAGGCAGGTTTCTTTTTAATTTTCTTTTCTTTTTTAGTGATTTGTATTGTTTTTTCCCTAATTACTCAAATTAACTCAAAGATAGAGTATACTAACTACAATAATTGACAAAAAATATATTTAGTTAATCTAAATATATTTTCATAACATATACAGATGTCACAAACAAATACATATACAAGCATAAAATATGCTTATCATGCATATCTATGTATCAATATGACAGACATAGCATACATAAGTACATACAACATACAACGTTGAATACAACATAATTAGATATGATTTAGGTAGAATTTTATTGGCATGGTTAGTGGGCATTAAATTAAATATACAAAAAACATATAATATAAAATTACATATTTACGGACATTACATAATACATATATACTATGTTATATTTTATATTACATATTCACATAGTATGTATATATCTATTATGCAATGTTAGGAACCGTGGTCTTATTTGGTCAAACAAATGGCTATTATTAAGACCTATTTGAAATCTGTGAGTTTAGGTTATATTTATGCTTCTGTCTATTGTAAATTGACCGACAAAACAGTTTACATAATAATATTAAAGTAACACAACAGCTCAAAATACACCAAAAACCCAGTAACTGAAAAAGTATTGCTTCAAAGTTGCTTGAAAAAATCAAATATTATTACTGACGGTATAAAATATTTACTTTGACAAAAAAAAGATTTCTTGAAAATCAAGACTGAATGAAACATTTATAAACGTTAGAACAAAACATAGATATATTAAAGAAGCATAAAATTGTATTCATCAACCAGATAAATACTCCGCTAAATAAGTAAATGCAATAAAATTGTACTCAAATTCGGCTCTTAATAAGACCCGGCCATTATTAGGACACTTTGAATAAAAAATAACAAATATGAACCGAAAATCGCTAAGAAAATAAATAAAATAATAATAACAACGATAAAGCTAAAATAAGTTAAATAATAAAACAAAAAATATGAAAACACTTAATAACAACAGCATACAGTACTCAATACAAAACAGAACAAATAAAAAACAAACCTTACACAAACGAAAAGGCAAAATACAAAAACTACAAGATGAAATCAAAACGAAAAGGCAAACACAAATACTTCTACAAAATAAAATTAAATTAAATCCGTTACAAATTTAAATATTACAAATTAAATCGTTAAAAAATAAGTATAAAACAACCAATCTTCTTATTCTCAATCTTCTTATTCTTCGTTTGTAAATTTCTTCGTTTTTCCTTTTTTTGTTTCTTTTTATTTGTTAACTTTTTCTTTCTTTTTTTTTTTTTTTTTTTAATGTTATTGTTTTACGTAAAAGTTCTTTTTTTAAATAACTAATTGTTATATTACTGTTTTGATATGGGCATCTATAACTGTAAATTAACACATTAAAGAAAAAAATGTGTTAGTGATAAATTTAACAAGAAGCGATGCATTTTAGCATTTACTCCTCACTCCCTCTCATTCCATAGATAGCAATGACCATCATTTGTCTCCTAGTTATAAATGAAAAAGTTATAAAGAATCAGTTTTTTTTGTAGTAAAAAAATATTGGATATTGGGGTTAATACAGCATACAAGTCCATGAAAAAAATCTTTTTGAAGTTTTCTTCATCCAATTTCATCTTGTTTTTTTCTAAAATTCATATGCTGATAAATTAGTTACAAATTTCATACTGTACACATATTTTGCAACTTTTTTAATTCAAAAATAGCAATGTTTTCTTTTTCTAAAACTTTAGAGAAAAACAGCAGATAATATTTTTCAGGTGTGTTTGGGAATGATGCAATGTCTATATATATCTCCAATAAAACAAATTTCAGCTACAGCTACACAAGCAGCATAGCAAAAATTATAAAGAATCACAACAATAAAATTATTGTTGTGATTCTTTATAATTTTTATAAAGAATCACAACAATATTTTAGCTTTCAGGTGTAAATTAAGCGAAACCCAACAGCTATTTTAGCTTGCCATTGTAAATGAAGCAAAACTTGCCCTATGAATGGAGATTGTCAAAAAACAAAAGCAATTTATAAGTACATTGCATCATTTTCAAACACACCCAACAAAAAATTATAGGTTCAACAGAGGGGATGTGGAAAATTAGATAGGCGAACCACTAGCAATCGTTTAAAAACAAAAAATTTAAAACACAACCATGCTTTCAAAATACTTATGGCATATAAAGGGTAAATTAAAAATGGCGACTTTAAAACGGCGCACCCCAAACTCGGTAAACAACGAAACCTTTCGTTACGAAATTTCTCGGTAGATATACTTAATATTTTTCAGAATGGTAAAACTGTGCTGTTACGACAAGTGCCAAAATGGCTTCCTTGAAAGAAAAAAAACAAACTTTTTAAAACCACTTGTAAATCTAAAACTCAAATTTAAATATTTACAAACCAAATTAATTTAAGTTTTTTTTCATTTTAATTAAGATTTTACTATTTCACAAAGACTTACTTGAGAAAGGTTTTGTAATAAGTTAAAAATTTACAAAAAACATTTAAAAAAGTTATGTATAGGTGCTAACAGTTTTAAATCTCAAATAAATAATTACAATATATTATTGCTTTTAAAAATAATTGTTCTGATATTCTTCAGTTTACTTTTCTTTCATTGACTTTTTTTTTTTGAAATCTTCACTATCTTTCAATCTTTAAATGTCTTTTTTTCTTAATCTCGTTGTTTTAAACTTTTCCTCCATATATATTCTTCTCATCATCAGCATATGTATCTTCTTGTATCCAGTGTAATGCAATATATGATAATTTGAGAAAATTTGCTCCAAAAATTCATAAAATAAAATCATAAATTAAAATAGAAATAAAATATTAATAAATGTGTAATTTAAAGAGGATATTTATTGTGAATATGATCCAGGAACATATTGAAATTTGCCATAAATCTTTATTTTTAAACTCAATATTCCATATATACTGTCTCATCCAACCTAGACCATTTCATATCACCTTGAGAACCAAAAACAAACTTTAATTTACGCTTCATCCTACACCAAAAGTACTCAATGTGGTTTGTCGTTGTCCCTGTTTCAGGGTCAACAAAGTTTGAGGTATGATTAACAGTTGAATGAAAATAGCCTAAGTTGCTTAAATTAATTTACAAAGCCCATTCATCTGATTTTATAGTTGAACCAGGAGCAATCCAAGTTTGAATCAAAGGTACTAATGTATTTGCAGTCTGATTCTCTACCCTAGTCAAATACCCTTTTTTAGTTGTTGTATCATAAGCCCCGAAAATCCAATGCTTTTCAACGTTGTGACCCACATTATACTTGCGTTTGAAAAATAAAGATTCAGCAATTTCAACTATGTGCCCTGAATTACAGTTGGTTTACAGCTGCAACATCTAAAACTTTAAATGAGCAGATGTCTCTGAAATACTGATACCACTGAACTGAAATTGATTGGCTTATCCCTACTAATTCGCCAGCAGCAGTAACAGGGACATCTGAAACCCATAACAACATAAGTTGAAGTATATCACTTACACTTAGAGATGTTGAACATTCATGATTAAATATGATATTTATGATATAATACCATGAAACATGATACAATTAAATATGATATTTATGATATAATACCATGAAACATGATATGATTAAATATGATATTTATGATATAATACCATGAAACATAATATGATTAAATATGATATTTATGATATAATACCATGAAACATGATACAATTAAATATGATATTTATGATATAATACCATGAAACATGATACAATTAAATATGATATTTATGATATAATACCATGAAACATGATATGATTAAATAAGATATTTATGATATAAAACCATGAAATATGATACGATTAAATATGATATTTATGATATAATACCATGAAACATGATATGATTAAATATGATATTTATGATATAATACCATGAAACATGATACGATTAAATATGATATTTATGATATAATACCATGAAACATAATATGATTAAATATGATATTTACTTACTTGACACCGCTCAAACCTTTGAATAGTCATTTGCTGACCACAGATACAAGATTTGCGAACAGGGATTAGTCTTTTTTGATGGAGAAAATTCATTAGCCTTTCTTCTTAAATGCTTATAATAAATTCCGCCAGAGGAGTCATCTTGCTTGAAGTTGTTGTGTACTGAAGTGAACTTGAAAACGTGCTTAAGTCTTATTTAATTTATTAGCCAATGAAAATCGACTTTTAATTTTCGTAACGAAAATTTTCGTTGTTAACCGAGTTTGAGGTGCGTCGTTTTAAAATCCGCCGTTAAAAACAACACAGAATTTAACATTGTTCATCATAAAATGTACCCCCCTGCCTACAACATGTAACTAAAAAATGCCTACTATGCTTATACAAAAAGCTAATAATTTTATTGCATAAATATCCCAAAGAATTATTAAACAATAAAGGCAAACTAATATCCAAGTGTCACCAGTACAAATTCAGTATATCTATGTATGCTATAGTAAAAAATCAGTATGTACTGTATGTATGTACTGAACTCCCTAAAGATGGCTATTTCAATATATGTTATCAATGGCTTTTCATGCAATAAAAGTATGCAAAAATATTTGTAAGAGTGTGTGTGTGTGTATATATATATATATATATATATATATATATATATATATATATATATATATATATACACACACACATTTGTATATATATATATATATATATATATATATATATATATATATATATATATATACACAAATATATATATACACAAATATATATATACACAAATATATATATATATATATATATATATATATATATATATATATATATATATATATATATATATATATATATATATATATTGTGTGTGTTTCTATGTATATTCTTTATATATGTATGTATGTAATTTTAATATATTTATACTTAAAAATAGTTTTAAAGTAAAAGTGTTGTAATGCTCCAAATATATGTGATTACAGGATCATCCTGACCATAGTGTATTGTATTTGGTCAGAGGTTTAATGAATGTTCTTGAAGAAATAATATGGGATGACTCTAGTGATGCTAAATGCAGACTTTATCTGAATGCAATTTGTATACTCTCTGCTGCTGCCCAGGTAAAATGTAACTGTTACTAAAGGTTAAAGTAATTTCTTTCACAGAAGAAATCATCCTTAAAAATCATATTTAAAATTTTTTTAAATTTATCAATAATAATTTTCTGATTTAAATTTAAAAATAGTTAAACTTAAATATTTAAATTTAAAAATAGTTAAACTTAAATATTTAAAAAAAATTGTAAAAATCTGATTACATTATGCTTGCATTAAATAATTGATAAAGAACCTTCAAGCATGAAAAAGTTATTAAAGATTAGTCAATGAAGTGTTGTAAGGATTCGTTAATAAGAAATTTTAATGATGTATGTTAATGAAGTGTTGTAAGGATTCGTTAATAAGAAATTTTAATGATGTATGTTAATGAAGTGTTGAAAGGATTTCTTAATAAGAAATTTTAATGATGTATGTTAATGAAGTGTTAAGGCAAAGTTATTGTTTTTATATTTATTTGTCTAGAAGATATTAGAGTACCTGTCCACTTTTTGAATTTTTTGGAATGGCAGAATCTTGAAGATGTATTGTATGTTTAAAATACATCTTTCTGCTATTAAATGTTTTATTTTGAGTTTACTTACTTATCAATTTTCAAAAAAGCATTTGCATTGATTGATTTAAAAAATTTTTAAGACCAGCTTTTTTTTTACTTCAGTTAAGTGCATAAGGGCTAAACCTTATAAGTATATGAGTCACCCCTTGTAATTGTATGAGTCACCTCGTATAAGCATATAAGTAAATATATGAGTTATCCTGTATAAGTATATGAGTCATCCCTTATAGGCATAAGAATCACCCCTTATAAGCATATGAGTCACCTCGTATAAGCATATGAGCTACCCTTTATAAGCATATAGTCACCCCTTATAAGCATTTGAGTCACCTCGTATAAGCATATGAGTCACACCTTATAAGCATATAAGTCAGAGTGAATTTTTTTTTATTACATCCAAATTTGTAATTTAAAAAAATGTAATTTTTTATTCCTTTTAAACGCTTTTTTTTTTTAAATCTTACAATCTTACATCAGAAAATTTTTTTTTTTGGAGGTATCCAGAATTCCTAATATTTCCTTCAACTTTTTATAACTTTCCAGATATTCTTTTACAACTTTCTGGATATATTTTAAACTTTCTAGATTCCCAAAACATTTCCGTAAATACAAATTTAAAAATATATTTTTGCAATATATTTGTTTTTTAACTTTTTCAGTCAAATTTTTTAAACTTTTCTTATTTCTTTTACAAGAAATAAGAAAAATTTTAAAAAATTGAAAAAATCCATCAGCCTAAACCTAACTTATGACAATTTTAAGGAAAATAATTCTGAATTTTTTCTGGATTTTATTTTGCAAAATGTTTTCTCAATTTTTTTAAATAAGACCTTAGTTACATCTAAAGTAGCTCTATTTGCTAACAAGACCACTGTATTCTTCTGCCTCGACAAAAAGTTATCCTTTTTGATTGCTTATAACAGGAAGCGAATCTTGAGTATGATCTCTTTTCTGTAACAGCAGCATTTGATTAATTACTGCACTCTCCTTTATGTCTTAACAGATTATTATTCATCACAGACTTCTCATGGAAACTATAAATACAATCCATCACAGACCTCTCATGGAAACTATAAATACAATCCATCACAGACCTCTCATGGAAACTATATATACAATCCATCACAGACCTCTCATGAAAACTATATATACAATCCATCACAGACCTCTCATGGAAACTATATATACAATCCATCGCAGACCTCTCATGGAAACTATATATACAATCCATCACAGACCTCTCATGGAAACTATATATACAATCCATCACAGACCTCTCATGAAAACTATATATACAATCCATCACAGACCTCTTATGGAAACTATATATACAATCCATCACAGACCTCTCATGGAAACTATAAATACAATCCATCGCAGACCTCTCATGGAAACTATATATACAATCCATCACAGACCTCTCATGGAAACTATAAATACAATCCATCGCAGACCTCTCATGGAAACTATATATACAATCCATCACAGACCTCTCATGGAAACTATATATACAATCCATCACAGACCTCTCATGAAAACTATATATACAATCCATCACAGACCTCTTATGGAAACTATATATACAATCCATCACAGACCTCTCATGGAAACTATATATACAATCCATCACAGATCTCTCATGGAAACTATATATACAATCCATCACAGACCTCTCATGAAAACTATATATACAATCCATCACAGACCTCTTATGGAAACTATATATACAATCCATCACAGACCTCTCATGAAAACTATATATACAATCCATCACAGACCTCTTATGGAAACTATATATACAATCCATCACAGACTTCTCATGGAAACTATATATACAATACAAATTTAACATCTGTTAAAGTTGCCTCTCTTTATCAAGCTTGCCATTTTCTCACTCCTGATTTCATTTTCTACTTCTGCAAATCTCTTATTTGTGCTTGTATACAATACTGTTGTCATATCTGGGCTGGTTCTTCTAATGATGATTATCTTTTCTCTTCTTGACCAAAAATGTATAGTAAAAGTAGTTGGACCAGCTCTTTCTGCCAAGCTTGAGCCATTATCTCATTGTCATCTTTTTCTCTATTCTACAAATACTATCATGGTTGCCATTTAAATCATCATTTAGTTCTTTTTACATTTTTTTTTCCTTTTATCTATCTCTTAATGTTCTAAAAACTTTTATTCTAGTTTTTTTCTTCTCACATCAATGCTTTTTGAATCTCCATCTTCATATTTTTCTTCTCACTGTAACAAAGAGAAGTAAAATTAATGATTTTAGGAAAGAAAAATTAAAGATTTTGTCTTACATTTTTTTTTTTTTTTTTTTAAATTTGCATTCACTCCCAACAAGGCTGCAAGCAACCACTATTAAGTTGGGAGTTACTAGGAAAAAAAAAAGAACAGAGTTATAGAGCAAGGAAACGGTTGACAGAAGACTTAAAAAGTTGAAGTTTGTATGAGTCAGGAAAACATGAAGATGGGAGAGAGTTCCAAAGGATTGAAGTGCGGGGAAAAAAACTAGATGAATAAAAGTTTTTAGAGCATGCAGGGACAGATACAGAAAACGAATGAGACTTAGCTGAATGACGAGTAAAACGAGAATGAATTTTAGTTGATGGAACTAGAGATGATAACTCCTTTGAGCAGTGACCATAATAGTATCTGTAGAAAAGAGAAAGAGATGCAACTTTACGATGATGGGAAAGAGGTTCAAGCTTAGCAGATAGTCCAGGTCCAACAACATTTAGAATGCGTTTTTGGACCTTGTCAAGAAGAGAGAGTGAATCGTTAGAAGAACCAGCCCAAATATGACAACAGTATTCCATACAGGGACGAATAAGAGATTTGTAGAGGTAGAGAATGGAATCAGAAGTAAGGAAATGGCGAGCACGATAAAGAGAAGCAACCTTAGCAGAAGCTAATTTAGCAATCGATTGTATATATGGTTTCCATGAAAGGTCAGTAGTAAGCAATAATCCAAGAAGACGTAAAGAGGACGACTCAGTAAGAGGATTGCCATTCATTAATATAGGAATGTTGACCATATTACGGTAGTTGTTTGCAGTAAGCAATTGGGTTTTTTTAGAGTTGAAATTCACAAGCCACTGTGAACCCCAATCTATTACTGAAGTGAGATCAGATTCAAGATCAGCTGCTTGTTCTAGGCGATCGAAAAGAGAAGACTTTTTGTCAAGACAGGAGTATAAAGTTGAGTCATCAGCAAAAAGAGCTACTTTAGATGAAAGGTTGTCAGGAAGATCGTTTATGTAGATAAGAAACAAAACAGGGCCCAGGATGGAACCTTGGGGAACCCCAGAAGTTACTGGAAATAAAGAAGAGTGTTGGCCTTCAAGGATGACTTTAATAAACCGGTCAGAAAGAAATGATTTGATAATCTCAAAAACTTTCCCAGAAACACCATATGAAGCAAGCTTATGGAGAAGACCAGCATGCCAAACTTAGTCAAAAGCTTTAGATATGTCGAGAGCAATAGCCCTAGCCTCACCGCCTCCATCTAATGCACGATAAAATCTTTCAGTTACAGCAGTTAGCAAGTCGGCCGTAGAGCGAGAGGATCGAAAACCGTATTGATTGTCTGACAGCAGTTTATTTGACTCAAGATGAGATGTGAGGAATTTGTTGATTAAAGACTCAAAGACCTTGCTAATAACAGAAAGAAGACTGATCGGACGATAATTGGAGGGGTCAGAATTTTCTCCAGAGTTTTTGAATATTGGAACCACAGATGCCATTTTCCAACAAGCAGAAAAGCAAGACTCAGTCAAACACTTGTTAAATAGTTTAGAGAGAATTGAAGAAAGTTCTGGAGAACAATTCTGCAAGACTGTGACAGGAATGTTGTCTGGACCACAAGCTGTTGTCTGGACCACAAGCTGGACCACAATAGTTCTGTCTTATCCTTGGGAGAGGTAATAAGATCAGTCCCATGAATGAGAGATGGAATGTTAGATCTACCCTTGTTAATAATGCTGTTGAAGATTTTCCAAAAGTCTTTAGAGCCTAACTTCTGTGATAAGATGCGAGATTTAGTGAACTGAGAATAATGGAGTTTAGCATCAGAAAGCACCTTTTTACATCGATTTCTTGCAATAATAAATAGCCGTTTGTTCTCAAGAGAGTTGTTCTTTTGAAAAAGATGAAAAAAATGATTACGATTGGATATAGCAGCCGCACAAGAAGGAGAAAACCATGGAGTAGAATGAGGCTTGACTTGAAACCGACGAGAAGGAATAAAAGCTTCCATTCCAGCCTGAATCCAGGAGGTTACATAGGAGGCACATTTGTCAGCTGAGAGAGAAAAAACATCAGCCCAAGGACCATCACGAAGAAAATCACAAAAGGAATCCCAGTCAGTTTTAGGGTAGTAGTAGGTGGTTGATGATAAGGTGAGCCCAAAAAAGAAGTACGAGAAGAAAGATTTATAGAGATCATTGCATGGTCAGAACCATCTAAGGGAGAAAAGGGAGAAACTGAACATAAGCTAGGGTCAGAGACAAGACATAAGTCAAGGAGTGAAGGTAAATGATTAGGGTTGTCAGGAAAACAAGCCATTCAGTGTGATGGGCATTAAAATCACTAACAGCAACAATATTGGCAGAGGGGTAAAGAGAGAGGGCATGGTCAATTTGATCAGAGATAACATCTAAAAGAGTGCAATCATGGGAAGAAGGAGAACGATAAAGAACAAAGAGAAAGGTGATAGAGTGAAGAGGTGCTAGGCGAAAGCACATAAAAGAATGGTCAAAGGATTCGAACCTGATTTCACGACAAATAGGGGAATTAATGGGTATGTATACCCCTAAACCTAGCATGTGACTATTGGAGTCTTTACGAATCAAAGGATAGTACCCATCAACACTGACATCTGAAGAAGGAATTGCAGAACTTAAATTTGTTTCACTGAGTGCAAGCAAGTCTGGTGAATTTTGCAGGAGGTAAGACTCAACTGATGGAAAGTTGCTTCGTAGACCGCGAATATTTGTAAAAGATATATTAAAATATTTCGGTGGTGGGGATGGTTTTTTAGATTTTAAATTTTTGGTTACTTTGGTCATGATTTGGGTTTAATGAGAACTTGACTCATTCATAGATAGAGCACAGCCTCCTAATCAATGAGCTATGCAGTTGTCTCAGTCCTGTTAATTAACCCTAAGCCGTGACATAGGGCTCCTTATGTGGCCTTGACAATGCACACCAAAAGCATTAACAGGGACACCATCCATGCGCAACATGGCACTGTTAATACTCTGATATTTTGCAGCTGTTGATGGAATCAGCCTCTCTGAGAGCTACCACAGAGTTTGGGAAACCTTACTACCAGCCGGCCTCAGAACCATTAAACTGAGTTTTAGAGCTGTACCCTCATATGGAGATAACAGGAAGAGTTGCATAGCCATTATCATAGAGGCATAAGCAAAATTCTATGAGTAGAGTCAAGGAGATCCAGCATTCATCATCCTAGGCAGGAAACAATGTAACACAGGATACATCTACGCCAGCCTAATAGATGAAGAAGGGGTTCGAGGCTGGTTAGCAGAATTTTTCTGCTTACCCCTAAAGTCTTTGCCTAGGAGGCCTTCTACAAGACAGTAGCAGGATGCAGTTAACATCTGCCCAAGATGAGTATTTTTATCGAGACACCATCTCTAGCCTTTACTCAACCAAGAGCCCCAAGGCAGGGGATGTTTAGCTGGATGCAGTTAACATCTGCCCAAGATGAGTGTTTTTATCGAGACACCATCTCTAGCCTTTACTCAACCAAGAGCCCCAAGGCAGGGGAATTTTTAGTCGGAGTTTATTTCTCCTAGCCTTTGCATAAGAAGAGCACACTCTGCAAGGCAGCAGGGCTTGTGGCAGGTGGTACTGGGTTACGTGATACCAGTAGCAAGATTGATCTCGATTATCCTGACCTGACCTGGAGTAGTTAAAAGGAGCTACTTCCCGCAACAGTACTTTGAGAAAACCAGGCATGACATTTTGGAAGTGCATAAGGAAAAACACTGCATCTAACAAAATACAGGAGTCTAAGGTGAGTGTACGTTTTGTAGTTGGAGTAAGTAGTTAGTTACTGAGCTCACGCTGCATTAGAGTATAAACAGAACACAAACAAACATAAATCAACTCTGTGTTCTGTCTGAACCTCTGGCGGGTGAGTCAACACCGCGCCAGAGGTTCAGACAGAACACAAACATACATAAAAAACATAATCAACGTTTATTTTTATCAACGTTTATTTTTATCAACGTTTATTTTATCAACGTTTATTTTTATCAACGTTTATTTTTATCAACATTTATCAACGACAAAAAAATACACATAAAGTGGAATGGGAAAGTTTGTCTTGAAAATAAGGTGAGTTTTCCACTCATCCGTTTTTTCACGGGAACGGGAAAGGGAAGGGAAAAATAATCATGTGGGCATGCGTATTATAAGTTTTAATTTGTCCGAAGTAAAACTGCGCATACTCAAGTGATTATTTTTCCCTTTCCTATCTCGTTACCGTAGAAAAACGGATGAGTGGAAACTCACTTTAAGACATTCTAAAATTTGCCACAGTCAATTGTCAAAATTTTCACAGTCAATTCAAAATAATGAATGAGTTAGTAAAATAGTGAATGAATTAGTAAAATATTGAATGGATTAGTAAAAAGTCTTACAAAGTGAAATTGAATAGTTCAGACATGAATGCATGCTTCAGTTAAGACATGAATGCATGCTTAAAAATTGCAGTATGAATCAGGTGACAATAATTATGCAACATTATTTCAGAAACAAATGTTTTGATTTTTACATCAAAAGAAATTATAAGGTGATTTGTTTTTGTTTTTTTTTTATAGCCATTTTTATATATTATATACTATAACTTTAGATAAGGGGATCTGCAATCCTTTGAAGTGTTGTTTAAAAATTATACAAATAAAGAGTTTTAATACTATTACTAACTCTTTTGTCATTGTCTTAAGTATGTTTAATATTTATATATATTTTTATGATTTTAGGAATCGTATATTTTTAAAGTGGAAAAAGGTAATCAAAAATTGTTATTTAGATAATATTCATACAGAACAGAATTTCATTTACAAAATCACAAATAAATTATAAACATGATTACACATCCATAATCTCACTTACAAAATCACAAATAAATTATTAACATAATTATACATGCTTGGTTTCACTTACATAACCGCAAAAAGATTGTTAGCATCATTGTCATAAATGTATTTTTTTTTTATTTTTTTGCATTCTTCACAAGGCATAAAATTACCAATAGAGTCATAAAAATGTTCCTTAAATAATCAGGCTCTTAAGTTTTTGTTTTCACAAAAGTTTAAAAGAATTTGTTAAAAATGTTTTTCCCATTTTAGTATTTTCAATCCTAAAACTTTTAAGACAATCTCATTTAAAGACATTTAAATCTCATTTAAATTTAATTGGTAGTTTCTTGAATTTCTATTGAGTTTTATGAATTTGTTCATGTGATTCCATAACTATGTGAAGTATATATCACTATATGACACTATATGGCACTATATCATTTATATCATTTATATATTGTCGTATATAAACAATTGCATCCTTAAAAACTATGTGGTTTTAAGTTTATAAATTAATTTCATATTAAATTTAGTTGAATCCAATGATAAGTTATATGGTGCTGGTTCAAAGTTTGTTGAAGAAGTGAACAAGATCATTAATGTTCTTATTATTGAAATATTAAAAAAAATCAATGAGGCTGGTGAAAAGGTTGTCACTTGTTTATTCAATTTTGAATTTCTATTTTCTGATTTTAAAATTATTTATTCATTTGTGTATGCATTTTGTTTTTAATGTGTGTATTCCATGTATGCATTTTTTTTGACCCCAGGACTCTTAAGCCATAAATGTATAATTACAGCTAGCTCCTCCCCCTCTTTTTATATTTGATAATCAAATATACAATATATATGACTTTTTTACAACCCTGTATCATAGTTTAATGAACTTTTATTAAAAATTAGATCTTTCGAGGTGATTTGATAAAAAAATCTTACACACCAAATGATTTAAAAATTTTCATTTATTAGCTTTTTTGCCTAATTTTTGTGGTCCCTATAAGCAGTTATAAAATTGAACACAAGCTTCAGAGTCACAATATGCAACATTTTATAGGGTCATCAAAAACAAAAGGAAGTCAATTATTTACAATAATGTCATTGTATAACATTGTATAAGTAGGAGATTGACCTTGTTGCGACAGGAGTCATACAGGTCTTGCAAAGCTTTGATTACACGTTCACAGCACTGGTTGTTTTGGGTAATGTTGATTAGAGTTTTGTATGTTTTCTAGTGGTTTTGCTAGCATCTGAGACCCCTTGGATAGTCATTCAGCACTGCAGATAGTTCATCGAAATCTTCTTTTTGGGAATTCAATGCCCTCACCAAAAAGCTAGCAGCACATCTTTGCAGCTCCAAATGACTTGATTAGATACAATTGGAAAATTCAATGTTTTGCTCCCATAGAACTTAAAGGTCAACAACAATTCTCTCTCTCTGTGTTCTTTGGTGGTGGATTTAAGAAATTTGAAGCATCCAATGACTTGGTTTTTCTGGGGCATGCGACTCCTCTCACTAAAGGATGCTTCGTAAATTGCCACTTTGTTCTATTCTTGATGACGATAAAAACTGGATTAAGTTCGTTGTCCAAGTTTCCTTGTTCTTCTCAGCGTTAAAAGGGCTCTTTTTAAACATGTTATATTCTGCTCAGCAACAGAAATATAAGAGGCCTAAATGTAAGTATTAAACATGTAACAAATTAAAGAGACTGATACTGAGTTTTCATTTATTTTATTTAAAAACAAGCAATCCAAAATTATAAAAAATAAAAAGACACTAATAAAATATAATATGCACAGTTATGTTTGGATATAAAGCATAAATATCAATGTGGTTCACCAAATAATACAAGATCTTTTTTAATTAGACAATAAAAGTGTTAACACAATGTTAGCCTAATTTAAACTTAACTATCCAATTTAAACACCTCACTTATATATCAGTTTATACCACACTGTAAAACAGCTAAAGAAAATTTTACAACTCTACAGGAACTTCTCGAACACACAACATTCTACAATATTCTAGAAAGTTCCAAACAATTCTCCTACGGCAGTACTGTGAAATGTTTTAGGGGGATTCGTTTTTGAAAAATGAATAAGTTTTCCCGCGGTCTCTATAATGATATTTAGTATATAAATTATTATACAAGTCGGTTTAATGACACATATAAATATTGTTGAAATAAATATATATTACGCTAAAATGGCCTGTATTGCATTTTAAATTTGTTTGTGTGTGACATTTTTTAACATTTCATCAAAATAAAGGTCATTTTAGTCATTAATAGGCAAAAGTTCATCTTCGTGCTACAGGAAATGATTTTTGAGAAAAAAAGTTAAAAAGTTATTGCCCTAATATATATATATATATATATATATATATATATATATATATATATATATATATATATATATATATATATATATATATATATATATATATATATACATATACATATATATACATATACATATAAACACACGAATATAAACATTCATCCTTTTTGAATATATAAATATTATAAATCTGAAAGATAAAATTGCTAGTATTCATAAATAATAGCAATTAATATGAAATTAAATCTTTAATAATTATAATCATACTTGTAAGGTATATTTGAACTTAATACACAAAATAATATTATGAAAAATAAAAACGTGTTATCCTACTGAAACATAAGGTAAAACAATTTTGAATAGTTATACTGAACATTTATAACTGAATATTTAAATATTTAGAGACTAAAGATAAAGAATACTAAAGAACTTATACCTTAAAACTCAGACTTTGCAAATACATAAGTAACTGAATAAAAAGTAAAACATGCATTAGTATGGTATACATGTATATCTTCCATGTATGCATTCGTTTTTGTTTTTTTTTTAAGTACATATCTTTTATGTATGTGTTCTTTTTCTTAAACAATTTATTATTCTACATTTCTAAATTTTTAAAATTTCAATATTTATGTCTTTGATTTTATTTAGAACAAAAAGTTACAATATTTTATTTGTGCAGCATCTTTGAATAGGTTTTAACTTTTTTTTTTTTATTGCTTGTTTAAATTGTTTAATTCAAAGAGAATTAAAAATTACATTTATTTATTTATTTTTTTGTAGAATCGTAGCTCATGGGGATTTATCATCTATATCAATGTGTAAACTTGCTCAAAATCTGTGGTTGCTGGCTATTAAAAACACTAATGTTGATCAAAATTTTATGGTATGTTCTCTTATTTGACTGGAATAATTCTCAATGTTACTTGGTGCTATTATTATGAGGTGTTGGTTTTAATGGCATGTTAGTTTGATTGCTATAAAGTTTTATTTTCATTATGTGCTAATAATCTAAATGTTTTTATTTTCATGCTAATAATCTGAATTTTTTTATTAATGTTATTATCTGAATGTTATAAGATTTAACTACTGCAATTGTATATCTTGCTATGAAGTATTTTTTATGCATAGCAATTTTTTATTACCTTTAATAGTTTATTACGATTTTTTAACTGATATACTGAATACTTGATTTTCATATTGCTTTTTTTATAAGCCATTTCAGTTTTTAATATTTGTTAATCATTTGGAAGTTAATATTAGTATAAATTGAAAACACATAAATCTCTTAACACTTAATCTCTTGAATCTAACAAACTTATTTTCTTATCATTAATATGGATTTCGATCTTCTCGTTCTACAGTTGATTTGCTAACAGTTATAATCGATAGGTTTTATTGTGCATTAGTTAGAGGTGGAGAGATTAAGGCTATCGCTCTTGATATTTCTACAAAAGTAAAGCTAAAAAGGTTTGGCATGCTGGTCTTTTCCATAAGCTTTCTTTTTATAGTGTATCAGGTAACATCTTTAAGATTATTGAATCATTCCTTTCTGATCGTAGTGTAAATGTTGTCCTCTATGGACAGTACTCTTTTCATATACTGTAACTTCAGGGGTTCCTCAAGGTTCTATCCTTGACCCTATATTCTTTTTAGTTTACATTAACGATCTTCCAGGTATTCTCACATATAAGGTGGTTTTGGCTTTGTCTTGACAAGAATAAATGGTAGTATCATCAATAATACCATTTATTCTTGTCATGACAAGAAGCCCAGACTCTCTGATTGCTTGGAGAGGGCATTTGAACTTGAAAAGGATCTCACTTCTGCTACAGCATGGGGCTCGTAGTGGCTGGTGAACTTTTATTCAAATAAAACCCAATTTTTTTCAGTCAATCGTTATCGCAATAATTTAGATCTTTCTATATTTATGAAAGGTAATATACTCGATGAGTCATCTTCCCTTCATCTTCTAGGATTAACTCTTACTTCTGATCTTTCTTGGAGACCATATATCAAATCGATTGCAAAATTAGCATCTGCTTTTTTTTTTAGACAAGGTGCAAAAACGCATGTTTTGCATGTTGTAAACATAGTTGGATCTGCTCTTGCAGCCCAGTGCCGGATCAAGGGTGAGGGGGGGAGGGTTCTGGCTCATAAAAAGGCCTCCAAAAACAAAAATAGCCCCGGGCCTTATCCACCACTATTGCACCCAACTTCTACAACCACTATAATGGGCACTGGTCTAAAGAGCTAGTGTCTCTTGTACCATCTACTAAAATTCATTCTCATATTACTCGTCATTCAATTAAATCTCATCCTTTTTCTGTGACTGTTCCTAAGTGCCCCAAAACTCTTATTCGTCTAGTTTTTTTTCCTCGAATATCAGTTCTTTAAAATTCGCTTCCTCTATTTTGCTTTCCAGATTCATATAATTAGCAATCTTTTAAGTCGTCTGTCAATCGTTATCTTGCTCTATAAACTTCATCTTTTCACTTTCAACTCTAATAACGGTTGCTTGCAGCCTTGTTAAAAGCGAAGATGTTGAAAAGAAAAGTTAATTATATATATTATAAAAGTCGAATATACAAAAAATTAAAGCCCTAAAATTAGAATTTATATATTGCAGTAATAAATAAAATATTATATAAAATGGATATTTTATTTACTTATTTTGTTTTATTTTATAGAAACGATTGCGAAAAACGATTGAATTTCGTGCATTACGAGACTTTTCAGGATATCCTGAATTACTGCAGCTAATAACGGATATAAGATAATTTTTATGAATTTTTTATATATTGATAATATATTTTTTTATAAATAATTATAAAAAATCTTTTTGATTTATTTTTAAAAAAATCTTTTGGAGTTTTAAGGTCCATCCGTTTTATACTACGGGAAATCCGTTTTATACTACGGGAAAGGGAAAGGGATGGGAAAAATAATCACGTGAGCATGTGCAGTTTGTAATTTAATTTTTCCGCGGCCTAATTTTTCCCATCATGTCTGTTTTAGGAAAATTCATTTCGAGTTGTCTTGGGAAAAGTTGTTTTTAAATCAACTTTTTCCCGTGAAAAAGCAAACATCAAAATAAGCAGCCAATCGCCTTGCTATTATTTTCGAGAATTAAAGACAAAAAAAGTTGATAAGTTTCCAAGAATTTTTTCGTTTTCGTAATTTTGTCATTAGCTTTACTTTTGTAATTTTGTCAACGTTTACTTTTCTATAATTATGTTTGTCATTATATCAAAGTTATTTATACATAAATTTTTAATTGCTTACTTTGATGCAAAATGGAAATCATTACGATATTTATTTACTTACAATTGCAATTTTATGTCAGTTTTACTGCTATTTTAAACTGTGTAAATATCCGAATAATATGTTAACATTATTTTGAGTGATCTGTTCGATTCCCGACATTGATTACTGAAAATTTAATTTAATAATGACTGATTTAAACGTTGATTTTTCAAGAATACAAAGTTTTCCAACAAGTAAGAAATTGGAAGCTCATGTGATACAAGTGAGGTTTCCGTGTCTATGGGATACTACAACTCGCTCATATAAAGAAACACCTTTAATAGTTGAAGCATGGAAGCAGATATCTGCTTTATTAAATGTAGAAGGTAGCTATTTATTTTGCCAAGTAAATTTTACCAACAATATGTAAAACAAAACTACATTTATATTTATAACAATAAAAAACATAAATCAATGACAATAATTGTTCAAAATAATAATTGTTCATTTTATTATTATCAAGCATTTACATAAATATTTGAAATACACTGACAAGAGACAACCAAAATACAAAATTAGGAAATAATAACAGAACTACTTGTGTAATATAAAACTAATGCGACACTAAATAATTGAAAGACATTCATAAAATATCAAAACGATACAAATAACAATACTTTTTTTTATTCGTGTAATAAGATAACATATTATTATTATTATCATTTTAATGAAATTAACATATTATTATTAAATTTTAATGAAATTTAATAAAAATATTATTATTATTCCCGGTGGGAAATCGGCTAGCGAATAGCTAGATATAAAAAAAGCGATTAGGCCACGAGGATTGACAGCTTTTTTAAGTTAGCGAAAAGCTATCGATATATGTAAAGACAGCGATTTGGCTGCGAAGACAGTTAGCTTAAAAAGCTAAAGACCCACTGGCTATTGTAGCTAGCATTATAATAATAAAATGTCTGTCAAAAAAATTTTGATATGCAGCTATCAACGAGCTATAGAATTGTAGATATTTACAAAGCTACGATATTTAGTGACACATTGCTCATAATCACAATGTTTAAAGTTCAATTATTCTCATAATTATAATAGACTCAACACTAAAATACGATTTTTTAAAGATGTTAAAGACATTAGGAAAAAATAAAATAAGAAAAAGAATAACCACGATATAGCTAGCTAATCGCTCGCAAGTCGCTAGCTCTTTTCCCACCGGGTTACTATATATATATATATATATATATATATATATAATATATATATATATATATATATATATATATATATATATATATATATATATATATATATATATATATATATATATATATATATTGTTGTTTTGATTATTTGATAATAATCAACTCTTTTTCGATTTGAGAGTGATCAATATAAAGTGAAATAATCACAAAATAGATCAATAAATAAATAAATAAAAGGTTAGATGAGAAAAAACAACTTTTTTACGGTACTTAAAGTTTCATGCCGTTTTCGGCACTCATCAGCCATATATTTAAATCAAGAAAAAACCGTTCAAAAATACAATTAAAAAACCGTTACAAAATTCAAAAAAAACAATGGAATGAGTTCTGACGTCAAATAATTATAATACAAATAATTGTTTTATCACCTTAAAAGACCATAAAGATAACTTTGAAAACAATCCGACTGTCCGTTTATTAAATCCTGCTAAAAATGAGGTTGGAAGAATTAGCAAGGATATTCTTTCTAAAATTAATACAGAACTAAGAAGTATATTACAATTAAACTAATGGAAAAACACTTGAAATGTTATCGATTGGTTTAAAGCCATAAAAGACAAACACCTTTATAAATTTTTAATTTTTGATATCATTGACTTCTACCCTTCTATTAATGAAACACTTCTAAAAAACTCTATCAAATTTGCAGAGCAACACTTAACACTAAATAAAGAGAATATATCGTTAATTTTTCATGCAAGAAAGTCTTTGCTTTTCAATAATAATCAGGTTTGGATAAAGCAATCAAGTGGTTTATTTGATGTTTCCATGGGAGCTTTTGACGGCGCGGAGGTTTGTGAGCTTGTAGGAATATTTCTTCTTTTCGAAATTTCAAAATTTTATAACAAGTTTGAAGTTGGTTTATACCGTGATGATGGATTAGCAGTTTTTAGGAATAAAAGCGGCCCTCAAATGGAAAAAATAAAAAAGCATCTTTCCGAAATATTTAAATACAATGGCTTACGGATTTCTATACAATGCAACATGAAAATTGTCAAGTACCTCGACGTCACTCTAAATCTTAGTGAGTGCACCTTTAAACCTTATCTCAAACCTGATAATACATTAAATTATATCCATGCTGATTCAAATCACCCTCCAAGTATACTAAAACAAATACCACACTCGGTTGAACTTAGATTATCTACAAATTCTTCTACCAAAGAAATATTTCAACAGGCTGTTCCTCTATATAATGAGGCTTTATTAAAGTCTGGTTTTAAATGTAATCTAACATATAATCCTAAAGCAATATCAACTAAAAAACGGAACAGAGCACGCAACATCATTTGGTTTAATCCTCCATTTAGCAAAAATGTTAGCACCAACGTGGGAAAATGTTTTTTGAAATTAATTGGAAAACATTTTCCTAATAATAACAAACTACATAAAATCTTTAACAGGAACACAGTCAAAGTTAGCTACAGTTGTATGCCAAGTGTGAAATCGATCATAAATTCGCACAACAAGTACATTTTATACAACGATGCAAACTCTAATCAAGAAAACTGTAACTGCTTAGATAAAAATTTCTGCCCGTTGTCCAATAGATGTTTAACAAGCAGCATTGTATACCAAGCAACTGTAACCACCACTAGTGATTCATCTCCTAACGAAAAATCCTACATCGGTGTAAGTGAGACTTCTTTTAAATTGAGATACGCTAACCACGTTAAATCTTTTAACATCCCAAAATACAAAAATGATACTGAGCTGTCAAAGCAGGTATGGAAAATAAAAGAAGCCAATTTAGTTCCTATAGTTAAGTGGAAAATTCTCAGGCGATGTAAAGCATATAATCCTACATCCAAATCTTGTAAATTATGTCTCACCGAAAAATATGAAATCCTAAATTATAAAAATACTAATCTACTAAATAAAAGGAGTGAGATTGTTTCTAAGTGCAGAATTTAAGTATTTATTTATTTATTGATCTATTTTGTGATTATTTCACTTTATATTGATCACTCTCAAATCGAAAAAGAGTTGATTATTATCAAATAATCAAAACAACAAAATATATATATATATATATATATATATATATATATATATATATATATATATATATATATATATATATATATATATATATATATATATATATATATATAGTAACCCGGTGGGAAAAGAGCTAGCGACTTGCGAGCGATTAGCTAGCTATATCGTGGTTATTCTTTTTCTTATTTTATTTTTTCCTAATGTCTTTAACATCTTTAAAAAATCGTATTTTAGTGTTGAGTCTATTATAATTATGAGAATAATTGAACTTTAAACATTGTGATTATGAGCAATGTGTCACTAAATATCGTAGCTTTGTAAATATCTACAATTCTATAGCTCGTTGATAGCTGCATATCAAAATTTTTTTGACAGACATTTTATTATTATAATGCTAGCTACAATAGCCAGTGGGTCTTTAGCTTTTTAAGCTAACTGTCTTCGCAGCCAAATCGCTGTCTTTACATATATCGATAGCTTTTCGCTAACTTAAAAAAGCTGTCAATCCTCGTGGCCTAATCGCTTTTTTTATATCTAGCTATTCGCTAGCCGATTTCCCACCGGGAATAATAATAATATTTTTATTAAATTTCATTAAAATTTAATAATAATATGTTAATTTCATTAAAATGATAATAATAATAATATGTTATCTTATTACACGAATAAAAAAAAGTATTGTTATTTGTATCGTTTTGATATTTTATGAATGTCTTTCAATTATTTAGTGTCGCATTAGTTTTATATTACACAAGTAGTTCTGTTATTATTTCCTAATTTTGTATTTTGGTTGTCTCTTGTCAGTGTATTTCAAATATTTATGTAAATGCTTGATAATAATAAAATGAACAATTATTATTTTGAACAATTATTGTCATTGATTTATGTTTTTTATTGTTATAAATATAAATGTAGTTTTGTTTTACATATTGTTGGTAAAATTTACTTGGCAAAATAAATAGCTACCTTCTACATTTAATAAAGCAGATATCTGCTTCCATGCTTCAACTATTAAAGGTGTTTCTTTATATGAGCGAGTTGTAGTATCCCATAGACACGGAAACCTCACTTGTATCACATGAGCTTCCAATTTCTTACTTGTTGGAAAACTTTGTATTCTTGAAAAATCAACGTTTAAATCAGTCATTATTAAATTAAATTTTCAGTAATCAATGTCGGGAATCGAACAGATCACTCAAAATAATGTTAACATATTATTCGGATATTTACACAGTTTAAAATAGCAGTAAAACTGACATAAAATTGCAATTGTAAGTAAATAAATATCGTAATGATTTCCATT